AAAGAGTGTTCTGACAGTGTTGAAGTCATTCCTAAGGACCAGCTGCATCCCTGCCCTGCCCATAGTTTCCTTAGTACTTGACAAACTTAGTATCCTTATAAGAAATCCTACCTTTTGCCTACGATAGTTTGATTTGGGTTTCTGTCCCCATAACCAAAGTCCTGTCTAATAAGTAAACAAGAGTCTAAGAGGTAGAATGGCAAAAGAGCAAATTAAAAAAAATAGCAAAAAAAATTTTAATGGAAAGAAAACAAAAAAGCAAAATAAGTTTGGAAGAAAATTCAAGCTTTCCTTTTAGGACAGATTAGATTGAGACCTTAATACTCACAAAGGGCACATACTGACTCCTACTACCATAAATGCTAAGATTATATTGATAGATTAAAGTAATACGCAATTTGACAAACTCAGGGGTAACATTTTTAATAGAAGAGCTTTATCCTGGAATTTATCTGAAAAGAAGATGAGAAACTTTGTGATACATATTTTAAAAGTAATTAGAAAGCCAGTTTTTGAAAGTATCCTTTCAGATTTCAGAGTGCTCTCCATTACTTAAGCAGTAAATGAAAGAAACTGAAACTAAAATCTTTCTGTATTACTGGATTCTTAAAAGCCTAACACATTTCGAATGTGACTTTTTCAGTATTTCCCATTATAAACTGTCCTGACAGGAATAAAGATGCAGACGTAGAGAATGGACTTGAGACACGGGGAAGGGGAATGGTAAGCTGGGAAGAAGTGAGAGAGTGGCATGGACCTACATATACTACCAAATGTAAAATTGATAGCTAGTGGGAAGCAGCCGCATAGCACTGGGAGATCAGCTCAGTGCTTTGTGACCACCTAGACACAACACATCACTGTAAAAAAAAAAAACAAAAAAAAACTGTCCTGATATTTTGTGTTTTCTTTTTAAAAAAAATTTTAACATCTTTATTGGAGTATAATTGCTTTACAATGGTGTGTTAGTTTCTGCTGTATAACAAAGTGAATCAGTTATACATATACATATGTTCCCATATCTCTTCCCTCTTGCATCTCCCTCCCTCCCACCCTCCCTATCCCACCCCTCTAGGTGGTCACAAACCACTGAGCTGATCTCCCTGTGCTATGCGGCTGCTTCCCACTAACTATCTATTTTACGTTTGGTAGTGTATATATGTCCATGCCGCTCTCTCACTTCGTCCTAGCTTACCCTTCCCCCTCCCCGTGTCCTCAAGTCCATTCTCTATGTCTGCATCTTTATTCCCGTCTTGCCCCTAGGTTCTTCAGAACCTTTTTTATTTTTAGATTCCATATATATGTGTTCGCATATGGTATTTGTTTTTCTCTTTCTAATTTACTTCACTCTATATGACAGACTCTAGGTCGATCCACCTCACTACAAATAACTCAATTTCATTTCTTTTTATGGCTGAGTAATATTCCATTGTATATATGTGCCACATCTTCTTTATCCATTTATCTGTCGATGGACACTTAGGTTGCTTCCATGTCCTGGCTATTGTAAATACTGCTTGGCATATTCTAAGAAAATGGGGGCCTGAATGGCTAGAGTGGAGGAGAAAGGGAGATAAAGTCTGAGGAGTAGCCAGGGTCAGACCATAGGCCTTTGTAGGCCATGGGAAGGGTTTTGGATTTTATTCTCAATTAGATGAGAATTCACAAAAGAGAATTTTTCTTTTTTTTGTCTTTGGCATTTACTTTTCCCCCAATTATCTTTTTATACATGATTTGTTCAAATCAGATTTTAAACAAGGTGCGCACACTGCATTTGCTTGTTAGGCCTCTTAAGCCTCTTTAACAAACCTCCTTCCTGCACCATCACCTTTTTTCATGATTTGCCCCATAGAATTTCTCACCTCCTAGATCTGGCTGATATTTTTCCTCTTGATATTTTTAAAGTCTTTCCTCTACCCTCTATATTTCCTATGTACTGGTAATTTTATTTAAAACCTTGATTATATTGAGTGCAATTTTTTTAGGCAAGAACGCTTCACATGTGGTACTTGCTACTGAATCAAATCATGAGGAACTTTATTTTTGTCTGCTTCACTTTTACTGACACTAAGAATGACCTGTAGGTTCAGGTATTATCAGTTTAATCCATCCCTTAACAAAGCTTCACATCATCCTTTTACCAAATGGCTTTAGCACCCATTGCTAAAATCATTTCAGCTCTATTATTTCATTAGAAGGTACAAAAATCATGATTTTTTATTACTATCATTCCTTAAGAATTTATTAGTGGTATAAAAACTTCAGTGGAAAATCCAGAATAGATGACCTGCCATAAGTTTTTTTGTTTTGTTTTGTTTTTTGTTTTTGCAGTAGGTGGGCCTCTCACTGTTGTGGCCTCTCCTGTTGCGGAGCACCGGACGCGCAGGCTCTGAGGCCATGGCCCGCGGGCCCAGCCGCTTCGCGGCATGTGGGATCTTCCCGGACCGGGGCACGAACCCGTGTCCCCTGCATTGGCAGGCGGACTCTCAACCACTGCGCCACCAGGGAAGCCCTGCCATAAGTTTTAAGAGGCCCAATTAGGAAGCTATCATAATAGTACAGCAGAGAAATGATGGTAGCTTGGATTTTACCAAATTGAAGTAATGAGAAGTAGTTCTGAAGAAAAGGCTGATAGAATTTCCTAATATATTAGCTGTAAGAGTATATATTAAAAGGAAGAATCAAGGATGCTCCTAAGTTTTTGGCCTGAACAACTAGAATGGAGTTGCCATTTACGGAGATAAAGAAGTCTTGGAAAGGAGCAGGTTTGTGTTTTTAGATGCCTTGAGCTTGACGTCCACACAGTTAAGAGTCTAGATGAGAGTCCTCTATTCAAATTCCAAGCCTAGAACATTAACATCAGTCCAAACACCCCTTGAGAGTACTTTCTATAACTAACCCTGGGGCTACTTCTCAATCTCAGATCAGTAAGA